TTTGCCTCCCAGCTTTTCCCTCTATTTCCCTTGACTTTCCTCCTGTCCCACTATCATGCTCAGTCCCCACCTGGGTTTCAGCAATTCCTCTTGGTTACATTACCCTTGATCCTGCCCTACATCCTCCTCATCACCAATTTGGATCACTTGTTCCCTTGTCCTTTGTTAACACCACTTCCTTTCCCCCCACCTCCCCTTCTCCCATGTCCACCCAGAACTGTCAGTCCCATTGTTTTCTCCTCCAGGTTGTTCATCCAGCCTATCTTATTTAGACAGACCTGCGGAGATAATAACCTGCACAAAAACAAGATAGAGCAAAACCAAGCAACAATGTACAACAAAACAACAACAACAACAAACCAATGACAAAAAACAAAACATAATAAGAAAGAAAAGCTTGTTGTTAGTTCTAGGACTTTTTGTTGGCCTTTAGGAGTGTTTTCCAGTCCAGTCTGTCGGGACACCACGCCCTTGCCCCAAAGTCCACCTTCAGCATTCCCTGGGGACCTCACCACTCCGTTCCCTTGCTGTTCTGATGCACCCCTTAGTATTTTGCCTTGGTGTGGCGGGATCAGATCAGGTGCAATTCCCACACTGTGTCTCCAGTATTGTCTGTCCCCTGTTGGATAAGCCGAGTTTTTCAGCACATTTTTAATGCCATTTTGTGGTAAAACTAGGTGCCTCAGCTGATATTCGGGTCGGCTTATACTTGAGTGTATATGAAATAATTTTTTTAAATCATTTTATTAAGGGCTCATACAACTCTTATCACAATCCATACATACATCAGTTGTGTAAAGCACATTTGTACATTCATTGCCCTCATCATTCTCAAAACATTTGCTCTCCACTTAAGCCCCTGGCATCAGGTCCTCATAAATTATCAAGGAGGGAGGGGAAAAATGATAGTAAAATTTTATGCTCAGCCACCAGGAATACTGTAATAGTTTTATCACATGGATCATGTTATTGATGTGCTTGAATGAAAAATGGTTCAGCTGGTTAGGACAGATGTTAACTTACATTATCTTGGAATTGTGCTCTTATTTAGTGATTCATACTACGCACTTCAATGGGGATACTGGGCTGGTATAGATTGGAAAACTGGCATTTTAACTTGATGCAATGAGTTTGATGAATAGCCCTGTGGTGTAATGATTACACATTGACCAACTAACCATGAGGCCAATAATTCAAAACCACCGGCCACTCTTTGGGAGAAAGATGAGTCTTTCTACTCTTGTAGAGTTACAGTCTCCAAAACCTGTAGGGGTGGTGTTACCCTGTCCTGTAGGGTCCCTGTAAGTCAGAATTGACTCCATGGCAGTGAGTTTGGTTTGGGTTTTATGTAGATAAGATGTGCCACCCTTTTGGTTTGTTCTTCAACTCTAGAATGAGGACTTTAATTAGGTCACTTGCCCTCTCAACGTTTTCATCTCAGGAACCCTTTTCACTCTTCAAAATTACAGGACCCCAAAGAGTTTGTATTTATATGGATTGTCTTATGTTATTTACCATATCCCAAAATTAAACCCCCATCAAGTTAATTCTGACTCATAGTGACTCTGTATGTGGTTTTTGAAACTAAATCTTTTCAGGACCTTCATCTTTCTCCTTCAGAGAGACTGATGGCTTTGAATCACTATACTTATGGTTAATAACCCAAGGCTTATCCCTCTGCACACTAAGGCGCCACAGTAAATATTAAAACTGAGAAGTATTTTAAATATTTACTAATCTAAAGTAGCAAACAGTTTAGGCATTAGCACATAGCATACTTTTATAAAAATTACTATATTTTAAAACAAAACTATTGAATGGTAATGCTTTGTCATTTTTTGCAAATTTCTTTTAATGCCTAGCGTAATAGAAGATAGCCAGATTTTCACATCTGCTTCTGCTCTTATGAGTTGCAATATTACATGTCATGAGGCTTCCAGAAAACTCCACTGCATCATTATAAGGAAATGAGAGTGGAAAGGGCAAATAACATCTTAGTATTGCTATGAAAACGTGATTGACCTGGTGGTGTACCTTCCGAAAGGTTTGAAGACCACGCATTGAAGGCCAGTGTTTAATAAGATGCTTCCTAAGATCCTTTCTAACCTTTTTTCCCCTTCTTTAAGTTTTACTTTTGTTATTGTTGAAAATATACACAGCAAAACATACAGCAACTGAACAGTTTTTACATGAGCTATTTAGTGACATTCCTAGATTGGTACCAGGTACTTAAAAGCTATTCTTTCTGCAATCACCATTTCTGAACCTAAGTTACATAAGTTGGCTTTCTGCCCTAGTGGATTACTTGTTAGCCACTCAATAAACGTCCTGCCAGTGTCCCAGAATTGTTCATCTCTTTACTTTTCCTGTGGCCTTCATCAACCACACACCATTACTGTTGTCAATTCCAACTCACAGGAACCCAATAGAGCAGTGTAGAATAGTCCCGTATGGTTTCTAAGGCTGTATGTCTTTACTGGTGTTAACTGTCCACATCATTCACCTGCAACCTTCCTAATGCTGTGACCCCTTCATACAGTTACTCATGTTGTGGTGACCCCCCAACCATAAAATAATTTTAGTTGCTATTTCATAACTGTAATTTTGCTACTGTTAAGAATTGGGGGGGGGGGAGGAGGAAAAAAAAAGAAAAGAATTGGGTTACCCCTGTGAAAGAGTCCTTTAACCCCCAAAGGGGTCACGACCCACAGGTTGAGAACCGCTGAGCTAGTGGGTTTAAACTCCCCACCTTTTGGTTAGTAGCCAAGTGCTTTAGCCACTGCACCCCCAACCAGATCTCTATTTTGAATCAGATCCAACGCTGCCTTTATAATAGTACTTTTAGAATTGAGATCATTGTTAGAGAGTGCTAGAACTAGGATGCATTTTTATCTTGTAAATTATTCCAGTTCATTTCATTCAGACAGCCATTGTAGCTTAGCCAACTATCCTTTTGCTCTCATTCATCCATACACACTTGTAGTTCTCTCTAGAAGCAATTCTAAACCTTTCTTCTCTCAGCCCCCAAGCTACTCCTACTTTCTCTAATTTCAACAGGTTTAATCCCAATTTTCAAAGAAAATTGAAGCAATTAAAAAATGTCCTTCTCCATCCTTGATGATCAGTTTTTATTCTCATCTCCTGCATTTTAGAGTATGCATGTAAAAATCCTTGTTAGTACCCACTAAATTCAGTCTTTTCCTTTTCTCTACTTTTGTTCCTCGTGTTTTCTACCTTAAGTTAAACCTGATGCTGCTTCTAGCTACTACTATCTTGTCTCTTTCCTTTCTTTCTCAGCCATATTTCAAAGATGTGGGCCACACATAACACTCATCATAAACCTGATTTTTTAATCTCTTTCTAGCTAATAACCTTTGGACCTTATAACCAATAACCCAAGTTACCTAACTGCTTCATGCTTCATTCCTTTTCTCATACATAAAACACCTCTGTCTGCCTTGTAAAGTTTCTGTGAAATTTATACTGACCAGTTAGTTATATGAGCAGGTACTTTGAGAACTTTTCATTTATTATGTAGAATCTATGTATTAATTTATTTTTATTATAACTTCTTGAATTACTCCTTCATTGTCTTTTTCTGTCAACATGCATTTCATGGTTCTAAGATGATCCTCTTTCTCTAAATTCATTCTCTCAGCCTTTATAGTTATTTTTTTTCTGCTAGATGAGTTTGGTATTCTCAAGCTTCCTTTGGAGTATCATCAGTCTTGCCATTTTCAATTGTCTACTGAAAAATTTGTAATTCTTTTTTTTTTACGCATAAGATACTTTGGAGAATGTAAAGATACTGCTTTTACCTGCAGGAATTGCCAGGTTGATAGAGAAGATCTATAGAGAGATAGATAATAGATATGTAGGTGTTCAACTATATCACAGAAATAATGGAATTTAACCTGGGAGGAAAAAAATGAGTTTGAGGAAAAGGCCGTGTCAAAGAACGTGAGGAAAGAGTCTGATAAAAAGAGATAGGATGTAAGTGTCAAGTTAGGGTACTAAAAATAATAATACTAGGGACTATGAAAAGGAAAGTTCAAGGCAAATCAGGTCAGTTCTAAAGGTGTCCTGTTTTCCTCTTAGATGTATCATATCTAAAACCAATTTCCCCTTCTCCCACCTGCCCACTTATTTCCACCATTATTCCAGATTGCTGCCTTACTTGACTTTATCTTTAACCATATTATTGACTCACTATGTCTGTCTCTCACTTGGTACTCTTTATGCTTCTTGACTTTTGCTTATGCTTTTTCTCATACCTGAAATATTTAACCTCTCAAGTCCCTTCCTATTTAAAATCCACCCAGTTCTTCTTCCATTGAAGCATTTCTTAGAACCAGCTTAGGCTGAAGTCATAACTCTGCATCTGGCTTTCTTTTAAGCATTAATTATATATAGTTTTTATATGAAAATTGTATACTGCCTTATCTTTAAATTAGTTTTAAACTGCTACTTAAATTTTAAAGCATTACTTTACAAATCACAGATTTATGTTTTATCTCCCTGACTAAATTACAAATCTTTATCAGCCCAAGGACCACATACTTACAAAGGTATCTTTGTATTATCTAATACAACTGTTACAGATAGAATTATGTCTTTGGAATTATTTTGTAAATCATAGTAAAGCCTAAGCAAAATACGCTTTAACAAGTTTATTTACAAGTTACTTCCTGATTTGACCTTGCTCTTGATTTAAAATTATATCTTATTTATAATGTGCATACCTTACATTCTGTAGAGTATTTGTCATCTGCTCTAACTTGTATTTGAGGTTATATTTTCTCCTAGTTGGTCTGAAATAGAAACAGTTGATCAAACCAGAAGTATTCAGAAAAAATCCCTAGGCACTGAAAACATTTACGTCATGATAATCCCTTTTTCTTTGTCCTAGAAAAATCTTAGACATTTTGGGGATACCATCTATAATTTGGAATTGTAAAAAAATATCTCAGATAACGTTTTCAGAAAATTTTTTTCAATAGGTATGGCAAAGTTGAGGCTACTCGCATCTTGTTAGAGAAAGGAAAGTGCAGTCCAAACCTTTTGAATGGACAGCTTAGTTCTCCTCTTCATTTTGCTGCTGGAGGAGGACATGCTGAAATAGTGCAGATTCTTCTCAATCATCCCGAAGTTGACAGAGTAAGTTATTTATTTAGTACATTTTTAAGTGTTCAAACAATGCAAGTAACGATGCTAAAATTACATATTTGAGGTGTAAGCTGAAAAACAAAATTTGCATTTAATATTAGAAAAACAAATATGTATAAGCTGTTTTGTTCATAAAATTTAAGCAGTACTCATTTAAATTGTATTTCCTCAAAAATATCTTTTCAAAAAAGATTTCTGCCTAATTTCTAAAAATTGTAATATTAAGTATTTTATAAAGTGGAATGTTATAACTAACAGAATCTTGATTAGTGCTTTGAATTTATCATCTTTAGAAATTTTTGCTTACATTAAGCATAGTATGTACTAAATATATTTAACATTGACTTAATACTTGTTAGCTTATTTTTTATGAAACTGATTAAATTAATTACATTTTATCTTGCAATACCATGTTTGTGATGTTTTATCTATCTATTAAATGTCTTACTACATTTTCTCTTGCAATACCATCTTTGTAATGTTTTATCTATCTTCCTTTCCCTGCCCCGCACATATCTAGCACATTACAGATCAACAAGGAAGATCCCCATTAAATATTTGTGAAGAAAACAAACAAAATAACTGGGAAGAAACGGCAAAATTGTTGAAGGAAGCCATTAATAAACCTGTAAGAATTATCTTCATAAATAGTTATAGCCACATATAGTGTTTATCTCACTGCCATGGAATCAATTATGACTCATAGAGACCCTGTAGGGCATAGTAGAACGCCCCATGTTGGTTGTCATGGCTGTAACTCTCTACAGGAGTAGAAAGCCTCATCTTTCTCCCTTGGAGTCACTGGTGGTTTCAAACTGTTAACCTCTTGGTGAGCAGCCCAAAGCTTTATATTGACAAGCAATTTGAGAATCTGTGGCAAGAGTAAAAGGATGAATAGATGAATGGATTCTTCCTAACAACTTTTATAAACCCTCAATATTAAACTTCATAGTATTATATTTATCATCCCAAATTAGGAAGCTTGTTTTTACATAACAAAGCAAAATTTGTAAAGCACTTCATCTAATTACAGTAAAATCTCTAATTTATGTGCTAGTTCCAAATTATTTTATTGATCGAGGTATATTTCTCTATGGAGGCCTTCAAAACAACACTTTGTATTTATAAATAATACCATTGATCATCATTTAAAAATCAGTTTCAACAAATTATTGCCTCCCTGGAAAAGTGACAGGTTTGAAATAGATGATTTTCCATTTCTTATTTTACCAATTCATTGTGGCCTTTCTTTCTGATTGATCCAAGAGAAACTCATAAATCAAATGCTGAGTCCATGCAACTGTTTGAGAGATTTTCATATTTAAAAGATTGAAATTTAATTTTCTATTAGCCGTGACTTCAGAAACTTTAAAAGTTGGAAAACCTCTAAACTGAATAAAGTATTTTTCTGAGAAATGTAGTAAAAGTTTTATTCTGACAGGAATAAGCACTATTATCTGAGATTTTCCAAATATTACCTATTAGCCAACAAGTATTTATTGAATATGTCTGTAGATTTAGTACTGTGCAATGCTGAAATAGAATATATGGTATCGACCTTTAAGGGACTAATACTATACAAAACCCGCTATACACTCAGTTCACATTTTATCAAAATATTCTATGTTAAGAACATAAGAAAATAGGTAAGTGGAGTAGGCATTACATCATTGCAATTTCTATCTACATAGTTATAATATATATTTGTTACTACCATTAAGATTTATATTCTGGATAAATATAGTTTGAGATATAGTTAACCAAAATGATCTGGTCTGGAAGTTGTTTGAGGGCATCAGCTGTGTTAAAAATAATTATAACTCAATGGACAAGTTGAAAATAAGCCTTATCCTGAGCATTTATTTTATATACACATATGTAGGCCATTTTGATTTCAAAAACCACAAATGGTTTGGAAAAGCAGGGTTCAGTTGGGGCTGTAAAGAGATTACCATTGAGTCCATCTCACTACTCTGATTCTCTGACCTGGAGAAAATAAACTGGCCCAACATACGTTGTTTTACAACTTTCACATGCAAAATCTTCCATCCCAGATTCATTTTAAGACAAATTATTATGGGTACAGATTTCTTTGTATGAGTTGTGGCCCACTAAACTCATTAGGTACTTGTCTAACAAGATTTGCTAAACAAATCTATCTATATAACACATGAAGATTGAAATTGCATAGTAAAGACTCTAAAGCATCCTCTCAGAAGAGTTTGAAATTTATTACTTAAAAAATTAAACAAAAGCCATCCTCCTTCTCTTGACCTTGGGAGAGCCAGAGGAGCACGTTTTGGAAAATCCAAATAATGGAAATAAAATGCTTTTCCAGCCTTACCAGCAGATTTCCACTTGAAGGCAGTTTTCCATTATTTCCCACATTAGAAATCTGTCATACAGCATATGAAGTTGAAAGTAAAGCATCTTAATTGGGTGGAATAAATAGTTGCTAAGAAAGTTGCATAATGTATTATTCTTTGTCCCAGTATGAAAAAGTTCGGATATACAGAATGGATGGATCTTACCGATCTGTTGAGCTGAAACATGGAAATAATACAACAGTGCAACAGATTATGGAAGGAATGCGTCTTTCTCAAGAGACACAACAATATTTCACTATTTGGATCTGTTCAGAAAACCTCAGTAAGAAAGATTTATTGTGTTATGCATTGAACCCGGGAGAGCCGGAGTGCAACAAGGTTTTCTTGATTTTCCTGGTCTTGCAAGTTTTTCACCTTTGAAGTCTTAGCACTTTCCTATTTGGTTTTCTTTCTCTGATATGTTTCTGCTTACATAGGTTCCAACTTGTGCAAGTTCTACTAAAGTATAATATACTTATGTTACTGGCTTTTAAATTATCAAATAGTACACTGTTCCCTTTTATATAAATTATTGGGTTGTTGTTGTTGTTGTTGAAACCAAAAAGCTTCTGGGCTATATTCAAACCAGTTCCAGAGAGTAAAATTTACCTCATTTTACTTTTTATTGTAGTTTTACTGAAAGTTTACAATGCAAACTTTTTTTCTCATTTAAAAATGTATAGTTTTGTGACACTGTTTGCCATTCCTTCAGTGAAATAGCATTCTTTCCACATCCTTGGGTACCCCATTTCCATTGTCTTTTTTCCCTACCCATTCCTGCCTTCTGAACTTTATCTATGGGCAAATGTTGCCAAATATGATTGATTATAGAAATCATTTTATTTGAAAATGTGTTTGGCTTCTTAGAACAGGCATATAAAATCCATATAAATAATGGGAAAGGAAAAGACCGATATCAGGAGCATCATCATTGGACATATAGGGAAGTCCACCACTACTGATCACCTGATCCACAATCTGATGGTATCAACAAAAGAACCATTGAACATTTGCGAAGGAAATTGCTGTGATGGTCAAGGACTCTTTCAGTATGTCTGAATATTGGATAAACTGAAATCTGAGCATGGCTGACCATTGATAGCTCCCTGTAGAAATTTGAGACCAGCAAGTGCTATGTGACCATCATTGAAACCTCAAGACACAAGGTACTTTATGAAAAATGTGATTACAGGAATATCACAGGCTAGCTGGGCTTTTCTACTTGTTGCTGCTGGTATGGGTAAATTTGAAACTAGTAGATCCAAGAACGAGCAAACCTGAGAGCCTTGCCCTTCTGGCTTACATGCGGAATATGGAACAACCAATTGTTGCTGTTAACAAAATGGATTCCAGTGAACCATGCTACAGTCAGAAAAGATATGAGGAAATCCTTAAGGAAGTCAGCAACCTCCGTTGTGAAAATTGTCTACAAGCTTGATACAGTAGCATTGATGCCAACGTCAGGTCTGAATGATGGCAGCATGCTGGAGCCAAGTACTAACATGGCTTCGTTCAAGGACTGGAAGGTCATCTCGAAGGGTGGTGATGCAGCTTGAAGCTCTGCGTACATCCAATTACTAACTCATCCAACTGACAAGCCCTTGCATTGCCTCTCCAGGATGTCTACCATTGTCCCTCTGGGCAGAATAGAGACTAGTTTTCTCATAGTAGACCTGATGGTCACTCTTGCTCCAGTCAATATTACCACTGAAGTATAGTCTGCACCATGAGACTTTAAAGTTCTCTGTGGGGACATTGTAGGCTTAAAGGTCAAGAATGCCCCTGTTAAAGAGGTTCATCATAGCAGTGTGGCAGGTAACAGCAAAAAATGGCCCATCAATGGACACAGCTGACTTCTCTACTCAGGTGATCATTCTGAACCATCCAGGCCAAAACAGTGTTGTATATACACCTATGCTGCATTGTCACACAGCTCACATTGCTTGCAAGTTTGCTTATCTCCAAGAGAAGATTGATTGCCATTCTAGTGAGAAGCTAGATTCCATGTTACAATAATTGGGGGATATCTTTTAGCTGCTATTATTATTGAAGTCTGGTAATGCTGCCATCAATGACATGGTTCCTGGCAAGTACATGTGTGTTGAGAGCTTCATTGAATATCCTCCTTTGGGTAGTTTTTCTATTTGTGATCTGTGGCAAACTGTTTATATGTCCATCAAGATTGTGGACAAAATGACTGCTAGAACTGACAAGGTCACCAAGTCTGTTTTGACAACTCAGAAGACTAGATGAATATTTTCCATAACACCTACCACCCTAGCGAATTAGTGGTGAAAAACATCTCAAATGTTTGTCTCAATTGGCCATTTAATAGTGAGAGGTTGGCTTATTAACAATGCATTGTAGAACCTTCAGAAGAAAAGGAATGTTTTGTGGGCAATATATTTCTTTGTGTGTATGTGTGTGGCAGCTTTAAGTTATAAGTTACTAAAATCAATACTTCTTAAATGTAAATATCTTCTTGACCAGAATAGGGGGTTGGGGGGTGGCAATACTGTGCATCAATATGCTTCAGGTATAAACTATCACATCTTGCATCTGTTTGACCATAATGGAAAGAACCTTTGGGGATAGAGTGTGTTATCTTGCACCACGAGACTTCAGAGAAAAATAATGGCTCCTTTATGGCTCAATGAACATCAAGGCTAGAGGCATTGCTGTTTAGAAAACGCAATTTTAAAAATCAAAACTGGTCAGAAGATTTTTAAATGGAGTTACAGCCCTGCTTTCAGACTTCTTATGTACTCATACCTAGTGCATCTGCTTTTCAATCCTCATCCAGTTCGAACTAAAATTTTTCTTCCCTGACATAGCATTTGATTGGAATGCAATTAAATATAGTGCTCTTGCTCCATGCCTTTAGTTCAGTGCTCTCCTTATTATCTCAGAATAACACACATGTCCTTTTACCATCTATGAGGAGGCTTCAAAATGTCTGAGAAAATCAACCTCATGTTGCTCTAGATTGGTCTCTGAGAAGAAAATATTTTTAATACATTAAGGATTTAATTGAGGTTGTTGTGATTGATTATATTATGATGGTTTAATTGTATTTTTTAAAAACAGTAAATTCTACTGACTGTATTACAATTAAATGAATTCTAATGGAATTGTTCCTAAAAACATAAGCTTTTAACCTCAAATTGAGTTGTAGTTATGATTAAAATCAATGTTGGTTTACATTCATACCTTTAACTTAGATGTATTGAGTCCCTAAGTGCAGAGAGTTTTATGTAAGCTTCCTATGCGTTAATATAATTGATTTATTTTTGTATTATCATTTATAAAAGGAAAGATGTTTTTCAGGCCTTCAACTCAAGCCGTATCATAAGCCCTTACAACATGTTCGTGACTGGCCAGAAATACTTGCTGAATTGACTAATTTGGATCCCCAAAGGGAGACACCACAGCTTTTCCTAAGAAGAGATGTGAGACTTCCTTTAGAAGTTGAAAAAAAGGTTTGTTTGGAATTGTTATTTATAGTCATTCAAGTACACAGAAACTATTAGCATCTTGCTCACCTACCATATCAAGCCAAAACTATCCTTTGCAGCAGTGTCCTATAAAGACCTACATTGCTTTAGGGCTTAAACACTGCTGTAAGTGCAAACACAAGTAATTCATAACCAGTCAGTAATGTCTAGGCATGAAACCAGGAGTGTACTCCTGTGTTAAGTTCTTATTGTGAAACTAGAGGCAGAAACTATCATGATTGTATTTTTCTTTCCTGATCTGCTGTAGATCTTAGAAGAAAGATGAGATAATATGATGATGAGATGAGAGAATATATAAGAAATTTATATATTTCTTATATATTCTTATAAATATATAAGATGAGAGAATATATAGATAGACTGCAACAAGAGAGTCTAAATTTAATTATAGCTGTGAAAATGGAAAAGAAAAATATGGCTCATAACTTTGGTGGGAAAAACCAACCAATAAAATATTTTAGTGCATTCCCTCAATGTTTATCCAAGGGGACATTATACATACAAGGTTAAGCAAATTTTAACTCAAGAAAATTCACTGAGCCTATCCAAACTTGGTTAAAATCACTTTTTACTATTTATATTCTTCCTCTTATATTACCAAAGAGAAGAGAGATTTGCTCATTATAGTCAACAATACTGAGAAATTTGTCTGAAGTTTGTCAAAAACTAAGCCTTGGGTTATTCATAAAGCTATATTAGATAAGTGGTGTCTGCAAAGAGCCTGAATACACTCAAAGCGATCTTCCTTCTCTGCCCAAGTACCGTATATTTTATATACAATATAAAAATATATTTTATATTTATATTAAATAGCATAATACTAACAACATCTCCTTTATTGTTATTTAATCAAATTAAGATGTTTGTGTTAAAACGGCTTTAAACTACATGTATGCTTATGGGAATTGGCACAATACCTTTTCTCTTTTTTGAGGTTTGCTATTATAGTATATGAAGCGTAGGTAATAGAGAAGTGTTTCAGGAAGATAAATAATTTGGGTAAAATTTTACAAGAAATTGTTCATATGCATAGACTGATGATTCTTATATTAGACTTTCGATCAGAAGTTAGCAAACTACAGCCTGTGGCACTACAGTCTGCTGCCTATCTTTTATTAACCTGCAAGCTAAGAGTGAGTTTTTTAATTCTTTTAATGGTTGAAAAAAAATCAAAAGAATAATATTTTATACTATGCGAAAATTGTATGAAATGATTTTTTGTTATCGCTAAGACCTTAGCAATATATTGCCACACACATACACTGTGGTTGCTTTTGTGTCACAGTGGCAAAGTTAAATAGTAGCAACAGACATGGTATGGCCCACAAAACTTAATATATTATTATCTGACCTTTCACAGAAAAGTTTGCAATCTTCCTTGAAAGCAGTTTAATATCTCATTTACACACAGATGGGTAAAATTTCCATAGTAGACAGTGACAATCTGCACATTTGCAATAGGAAATTGTAGCTTAATAACCAAATGATGCTTTTTCTTTTAAGATTGAAGACCCACTGGCTATTCTTATTCTCTTTGATGAAGCCAGATATAATTTGTTGAAGGGCTTTTATACAGCGCCTGATGCTAAGGTGATAACATTGGCAAGTCTACTGTTACAAATAGTTTATGGAAATTATGAGAGTAAGAAACACAAGCAAGGTTTCTTAAAGTAAGTACTTGATAACAATGCATAGTTTTGTGCATGCTCAAGAAAGATTCTGTTTAATCAAGAAAACTTAAAATATTTGTCAGTTGATGTGGAATTAAAACACAAGATATGGAATGAGAAAAGTACTGTAGGAAAGCATTTCTAAACGCATGTAATGTCCTCAATGTTATTTTTCTTTATTTGAGTTTACTGTGCTATATTTTTCTTTAATATACTTTTCCTTACTATATATTTAAATAACAAAGTCAACATGAATAGGTAATAAAAAAATATTATTACTAGATATATGCACTTAAGAATCACAGCATAAAATTTAGTTTTATTTTCAGCCCTTGAAAGAAAAAGGCAGAGATTTTAGCACAACTGAAGCTTGCTTATTGTGATTTTTCAATTTTTAAAATATTCTAGCTTATTGGAAAAAAATATTGATGTTTAGAATTGGGACTTGTGGCTTGAAATTTCAAGAATTCTCTGATATTTTACAAGTTAATGTTTTTCTGTTTACAATTTATATTACATACTTAAAACCATTTGTGACAATGATAACTTACTTTAGTTAATAAAGATGCTTTAGCTAAAGGATGTTGGCATGTGTACTTACAGTGAAGAAAATCTAAAATCCATTGTACCTATCACTAAATTGAAAAGTAAGGCACCTCACTGGACAAACCGAATACTTCATGAGTATAAGGTAAGCTGCTTGAGAGAAATAACAAAGCACCATACCAGCCTAGCAGAAAGTTTGTTAATGGTATAAATGCATTTTAAACACAGATTAAATTTATAATCCTAAAATTTAAAATATATCTATTTTAAGTCCTGAAACTGAAAGGAACCAGATTTGTTGATTTTTTTTTAACTATGTAGAAGCTTTTTCTGGCACTTTTATGTGCTACAGTGCAGTTCTACTTTCAAACACATGGGGTCACCAATTAGATTCACAGAGACAGCAGTAGGTGTGGTTTTGATATGGTGATGATGGGGACTAGAGGTTTATTTTGAGTTTTTTTAAGGATGAAATCATATTCTTCCTGTCCATCAAGCACTGAAACCTAATGAAATAGATGGGCAACAATATTTTAGACTTCAATTTTCTTTTCTCTATTAAGTTCTATAAACAAAAAGTACCCTTAGGATAATGTTACTCAATTTTATTTTTTGTTAGGGGCATTCTTAATTTTGAGAAATTACATAGTTGACCTACTTGTGTTATTAAGTATACATTCTCCTTTTTCATATATCTTATGTTTTATTTGTTTTTAGAATCTTAGTACCAGTGAGGGTGTCAGTAAAGAAATGCATCATCTTCAGCGCATGTTCTTACAGAATTGCTGGGAAATCCCTACTTATGGAGCAGCTTTTTTCACAGGGCAGATATTTACAAAGGCCAGCCCCAGCAATCATAAAGTCATTCCCGTGTACGTGGGTGTGAATATAAAAGGACTTCATCTTCTCAACATGGAAACAAAGGTAGCTTTTAGCTTTTTCCTCACTGTACCTTTTTTTCCCATTGTACCTCAATATCTCAAATAGCAGGCAAAAATCTAGAAGTGGAAAATATATAAGATTATTCATTGCAACTTTATTGATTAAAGCAAATTACTTGGGGAGACTAAATGACTATCAGGGCTTAACATATTAATTATACATTTGTATATTAGAATTCCTTGCAGCTATGCTGAAGAATAAAGAACTCTTTGCAAATAGAATGATAGTCTTGGTATACTACAGGGCTTCAAAATATTTGTGGGGAAGTTTCATTGTATTTTAATTTTCAGTAAACTTACAAAGCTCCCACTTATGCCATTTTTCCTCATCAAAGTCATTATCATATAAAGGATCATCATGAATCACAGACTTCTTGAATTATGTCATAGTTCATTTCATGATAACTCAGGATCTTCCTAATGGACCAGTGTTCATTTATCATGTGGTTAGCTGTGCCAGTGGATGGAATAGAGATTATGTAGGGTCAGATGCTAAAGAGGGGCAGAGTGGACCTGGGGCTTGATTTTTTGAGATTTCTTAGGTCAGCCTGCCTTTGGGTCATTTGTTTATCATTTTCTATTAAATATTTAAAATGACTTCCAATACACAAAATAGGCTGCTGCTATTATCTTATAACCACTTTTCTGTTGGCACTTGAAGAAAGGTTTCTTCTGCTGTTGGAGAGCATTTTCTACCAACATCCTCATATTTACAAACCCTTCTTCACAGAACTGATGGTGATGCTCTAGATGTGAAGCTACGCCCTTTTTTTCTGTTTGACATTTGAAAGCATTCCAAACTTAGGCAACAATAGAATATTTCATATATATAAATGATTTGGCAATATCACATTTTGTATTTGAATTATCCTGGTCTAGCAGTTGAATGAGTGAGATTGCAGTAGCAGGCATATTGATAGCAATATTAGCAGTCTGCTATTTCAGGCGAAAGTGTTCAGTTCGTAAAAATAGAAATAGAAAGGCTATCCTTGGGTATATAAATAGATGATTGAACACAAAAGTAAAAATATTTCTGTCCATGTGAACATTACCTGGTGCTCTAAGCTACTAGTAGGTGTATGGCCCCTTTGAAAGCTCTAAGGTGACAACATTTTCCAGTTAGCAAAGGACAACAGCTCATCTGCAGTTGTCTGAGGTCACTGGGATCTGCTAGGGTTGAATTTGATAGATTTCATTTACTAAAATAGAATAAATCCCTTCATCCACAGTGTAAAAACTCTCCATGGGATACATTAGTTTGGCCCTTTGTAGATTCTGCTTTCTAATGGGAACTGTTTTTGCCTCCTGGAGCATATACTGATTACTCAACCACCATGTGGGTTCGCTGGCCCCTTGTTTTCATTGGGAGCTGCTCAAAAATTGCAACTTCACTATACATTATCCTGTAAAACAAAAACTTGTTTAAAAAGTGTGGATTTAGTGATTCATTGAAAACCTGATCTCTGTAACAAAGGACTTGCTGAACCACAGTACTTTTTTTATACATTAAATTTTTGAGGCCACTATTAATGGACTATTTTTTTTTATCATTTTATTGGGGGCTCATACAACTCTTATCCCAATCCACCCATCCATTGTGTCAAGTCCATTTGTACATTTGTTGCCATCATCATTCTCAAAACATTTGCCCTTGGTATCAGCTCCTCATTTTCCCCCCTCCATCCTTGCTCACCCCTCCCTCATGAACCCTTGATAATTTATAAAATATTATTATTTTGTCATATCTTACACTGTCTGACGTCTCCCTTCACCCACTTTTCTGTTCATCCCCCAGGGAGAAGGTTATATGTAGAGCCTTGTAATCGGTTCCCCCTTTCCATTCCACCCTTCCGGTATCACCACTCTCACCACTTTTCCTAAAGGGATCATCTGTCCTGGATTCCCTGTGTTTCCAATCCCTATCTGAATCAGTGTACGTCCTCTGGTCTAGCCAGATTTGTAAGGTAGAATTGGGATCGTGATGGGGGGGCGGGGAGCATTTGGGACATAGAGGAAAATTGTATGTTTCAGGCTACACTGCACCCTGACTGGCTCGTCTACTCCCCGCGACCCTTCTGTAAGGGAATGTCCAGTTGCCTATAGATGGGTCTTGGGTCCTCCATCTGCACTCCTTTATGTATGAAGTTAAGTTTTATGCTATGAATGTAGATAGCTATTTTTCAAACAAAACTGGTGTCCTCGAACTTTATAGTGTACACTTAAAGGACCACAGGTACACATTTTTTGTGAACATGTCGATGAAGAATGCATGTAATAGGGCTAGCAGAGAATTATTGTTAAAAGTAGTTAAAAGGAAGTATTGTGGCTACTTAATATGGATTATGTTAGGATGACTTATCATAATGCTGGTTTTCATTTAGCTCTTCTGAAAAAGTATTAGCTCTCTTATTTTAGTGGTCTATTGATTTAACAGACTATTATTAATTTTCAAATTAAAAAGTTTACCCTAAGTATATCAACATGCTTATTTTTTATTAAAAAGTCATTTTATTGGGGCTATTACATATTTTATAGCAGTCCTTACATCCCTTATACTAAGCTGATATGTACAAATATTTACATCAACAATTTCAAAACATTATCTTTCTTCTTGAGCCCCTGATGTTAGTTCCCTTTTTCCCCTCCCTCCCCGCCCTGCCACGCTTGTGAACCGTTAATATATTATGTATTGTTATTTGTACATATCTTGCACCACCTCTTCTATCCCTCATCTACAATCCTGGTATTTGTTCCCATCAAGAGGGGTTTTTCTCCATCATTGCTCTCAGTTCCCCCTCCCCCATCCCACCCTTTCCTTCTCCTACCTTCCCAAAGTTGTTACTCCCATTGCTGTTTCTGAGGGGTTTGTCTTTCCTGAATTTTTTTTTTCTATCCTGAATTTTGTAAATTGAAAGCTCTTGTCTATACCGATGTATGTATGCCAGACTAGCTGAATTTGCGATGTAGGACTGAGATCGTAATATTCGGGGCAGAAGGATTAAGGACCTGGAGAAGTGTTGTGTGTTTTGTCAGTGCTGTACTGCCCCTAGTTGCTTATTTTTAGTGAGATGAAATTGCCTAAGTCATCATGTTACTTATATCACATAAAATTCAGATCTAAAGGCATATAAATTTTCAAAAGAAAAGGGGATTGTTTTTAACATGGAGAATGTAAAAGCTTATAGTACATTTTCCTGAAAGTCAATGATAGACATCTTTACAATTTTACTCAATTAATGGAAAAACATTGCTGAAAGCAGTGTTTTGAGCATCTAAATGTAGTTTTTATGCTGGACTTGTATGAGGTTGAGTGTAGGCACTTTGAATAGGCTTCACTATTTTATTTATTTATTTGTTTGTTTATTTATTTATTTTGCCACAGAGCAAAAACATACTCAACTTTTATTACATTGGTAAAAGTCATCTCAGCCACATGGTGGCCATCGCGCCTGTGTCCTGAGCAGTTTTCACATCACCCCGTGCCCTTTTCAGACCAATGCTGTTTCATCCTTCTTCTCGCAGCCCACCCCTGTGGCTGTGATCTCTTAGCAGAGAAGCCGAACACCAAATCAAATGACCCCAAATCCCAACCAGAGCAGTGCCTAGAAGACATGTGTGGCGCACGGGGAGACAGCACCACTTCCCAACAGCTCAATCCACTGCATCAGCTGCCCTCTGGGAGGAGCTGGAAGCACCCTGTTGGGGACCGCAGACCACGCAGCAGATCCTGAAGGCTGAGCCTGCTGCTCCAAAGCCTTGGGCCCCCACTCCCTGTGGCCTAAACAGCACTCAGAGGAAAAGCCCCTTCAAGGGACAGTCACATCAGTTCTCAGAGAGCCCTGCTGCTCAGAGTCTGCCTGCTGAGGCACATTCAGTGTTATGAGGTTCCGGTGGGTGGAGGAGGTCTTATCTATCGCAGCCCTTAGGGCTGAGAGGGATGGTCCGGAAGGCCCTTGGGGCCCTCTGCTCGGCCTAGTTGGCCTCTATTGGTCCAGGCGATGGGCATTCCAGTAAGCCCTCCAGTGACTCCCATCAGTCCAAAGAAGATGGAAAACAGGGTGAGCACCACCCCCAGCAAGTAGAGCTTGAACATATGCTTCGTGGCTGACGGGCCTTTCTGTTCCTCGACAGAGCTGCCTTCTGCTTCTGGAACCTCCTGAACGGCCATGATCTTACCAGCCAAGTCCGCACACAGCACAGGCAGAGAGGGCAGGAGAGTCTCTCTATTTCTCCCCAAGGCCCTTGAGGATGCCCTAAGGAAATGACTTCATATCCAGATCCGAAAAACCATTCTCCTTCACTTTCTGATTCCATGTGGGGGCGCTGTTGCTGTTGAAGGGTGGTCAGGCTTCTCAAGTACTCTCTGCCGATAGGTATAAATTTTAACTCTGCTGGACAGCCAGGATCTCACCAGCCAGATCTTCATACAGCACACGCAGAGAGTGTGGCAGGAAAATCTGAATAGGCTTCATTATAATGATCAGAACCATCATGTGTGGGTCAGATTGGTAAGCTTAGATACTAATAAGATCAGTATTGTTTTTGATAAAATATGTCAATAATTATTTCTAATTATGTTTCAGGCCTTACTCATCAGTCTCAAGTATGGTTGTTTTACATCTCAATTGGGAGATGCTGATACATGTTTTCAGATCCATAGTATGGAAAATAAGATGAGCTTTATAGTACATACAAAACAGGTAAGGACTTAACAATTTTTTTGAATTTCTAATAATGAACGGTTTTATTAGAAAGTTCTTTTTTTTTTTAAGGAGCATAAAATCTTATTTTAAAATTAGATAATAGTAAAAGGAGTTCTGGTGGTATAATGGCTAAGCCTCTTGGCTGCTAACCTAAAGGTCAGGAGTTCAAACCCTCCAGATGCTCCTCGGGAGGAAGATGTAGTAGGTTGCTTTTGTAAGGATATGTAACCTTGAAAACCTTATGGGACATTATACTCTGTCCTATAGTGTTCACTGAGTTAGGATTGCCTCGATGACAATGGGTTTGATTGATTTTTGTTTCTTTAAAATATATAATTAATGCTATTTTAAACTAAGCAAATTAAAAAATCAAAGAGGAAGGCCTTTCCTAAGCAAGTAGCGCCAGAAATGTAGCTAAATAATTTATTTCTGTTTTACAACAAACACTTTGTTTTGTTTATCCCCTACCATTTTCAGTTCTGGTCAGTATCCTTGTCTCTTCCGTCAGGGGTATCCACTATCTTGCTCTTTCCTTAGCTAATGTCTTGTCACTAGTGCACCCAGCATGTCTCTTCTGAAATCCCTTTAAAGGCTGAGTAAATACTCCTATACTATTTCTTGATAAGTTGTCTACTAGTAAGGAAGTTCCCATTCAGATTTACAGGAAACTGCCCATTGCCATGCGTGTCCTTTGTGCATTCTTACATATTTCACCTGTATTTTAATTTGTGTATTTTATTTTGTAGGCTGGACTCGTGGTGAAACTGTTAATGAAGCTAAATGGACAATTAATGCCCACTGAAAGAAATCTATAAAAGGAAAGCAGCTGGTAGCTGAGCCACCACATTTTGAGAAGCAGATTTTTTTTCCATGAAAGATTTCTTAATATATTATTGCCTTTAACAAGACATTTAGTCTCTTATAATATATGTATACTATTACATTGTACAGAATCTGTACTTATATTTGGTGTGTAATATACCAATTTTATATAATACCCTTATAAGCTATTCTAACTTTTGAGAGAAATACATAAAAACATAGATATAGGCTATATAATATTAGAAAAAATAATGAGCTTTATGGAAAACTATTTTCAATAAATGGTAAAAAAAATTGGAGAGGAATATGATGAAATTAAGATAAAGCTTTTGGTATAACTATTTTAAATATGCTGAAAGTCAACATAATATGAATTAAAAAGTACATTTTCTACATTATCACTTGTTATTTTTTGGTTATCTAAATGGACATTTCACAACATATTTTTAAAGTTTCTCATAAAATGTGTATCTAGCATATGACAGTTTTTCTCAAAGTATAGTTTCTCAAACTCCCTACATCATAATTATCTGGGGTACCTATTAAAAATGAGCATTTAAGAGACTCATCCTTAGAAATGTTAAATCACTCTCTTGGCAATTTAAGTTTTGGAGTGTTTGCTGCTGCTATTGTATGAAATCATTTCAGACCCATTAAGGGGTTTGTGTATTAAAGTTAAATAAATTAGACAAAATTGCCAGGCACAAAAGCACAAACATAGACACGGCTTGTGACAATATCTGTGTTGTTAGTAGTTGCAATGATTAAGTTTATGTTGTAGTCTTAAGTGGATTGAATAGTTTATATTGCCTTGACATTGTAGAGAGTACATCACCAAAGATCTTTCTTCGTTTTTCATGTAGGAGAATAATGATACTGTAGTTATCATTGAAGAAGTAACCTGATTAATCTATTTAATAAGCTTAGAAGTTTTTCCAAGTAATACATTGGTGTATTAAATTAGAGGTACAATATTCATATTTTAAATTGTTGTATAGATTTCAGATGGGTTTTATATACCAGTATTTACTCTTCACATTAATTTCTGCATATTTTAATTGTGCTATAGCTGAAACTTACTCAAATTAGGATAGGTAACAAGTAAGACTAACAAGAAAGCCTGATTTGTTTTAAATAATGTCCTAGGCACTTTTGATTCAAATAGACAATGCCCTGTTCTGTTTCATCCATTCCAATGAACTCAGCTGTTAACCAAATACATACTCTGTTAACTCTCAAACCTAAAATTTCACCTTTTCCTCAAAGTTGGATAGTTTAACTATTATGTGCCTTGGTGACTTCTTCTTGGGATTCAGTCTAGCTGGTGTTCTTTCAGCCTCCTGAGTGGTTGCCTGATTTTCATTCATTAAACTGGGGGAGTTTTCCTCCAAGAATTCTCTCACTATTGTTGCAGATGACTTCTTTGTTGTATCTTCCTCCAATAAGCCAGTAATTCTAATGTTGTTCTGCTTCATAGCAACAGACATAGCTCTTAGGTTTTCTTCAGCTTCTCTGATGATCTTATTAGATTTTTGTTCCCGTTTGTTAAAGTCTGCTTGGCTGTCTTCCAAGTCACTGATGCGGTTCTCTGCTTCCTCCAGTCGATTGTCCAGGTCCCTGTTTCTGCTACTGGTTTTTGTTATCTCCTCCCTAAGCTCCTGTATTTCCCTTTGGTGTATGGCCTTTATCTCTAGCATTTCATCCTTTTTCTGTATATTTCCCTTATATCCTGTATGACTCATTGCAACATTCTGAAAATTTCTTTCTGAGGTAGCTCAATGTCTGCTTCTTCTATGCATGCCATTATGTTCGGGACATCTTCTGCCATTGCCTTTTGTTTCTCCTGTTTTTTTGTTGTGGTCATTGGGGCTGATGGCTGTTTGCGTTGCATTGTTTTAGAGGAACCAGGTGCCATTTTTCATGGAGTCAAAGAGCACTGGCTCTCTCTGGGAGACTTGTAGGAATGCTTCTTCTAACTGCCTACAGCTAATTTCACTATGGAATTAACCTACCGCTTTAGCCTCCTGTGGCTTCCCACTCAGGGGAGTGCCCCAAAAGGCTGGTGGGTTGCCTGCTTTGGTGTTGTGGAGGTTGGGCAGAGGTTCCTGCAGCAGTTTGGGACATTGATGAATGTTGGCCAAACTGCCCTAGGCCCCCAGGCACACAGGTAGGAATTCCCCGGTAAGAAGTTGGGCAGAGTATCCCCTGGTGGAGGTTGGCAGGGCTTTCCCCAGCCTCGG